TGATGTGTGTCGCTGAATGTGAGCATTGATGACTGAAAGACATCAGTTTGGGCTGCTGGGTTCTGGATCAGTTTGGGTTCTTGTCGCGGTCCGATGCTAACTGATGCTAACGTCTCTATGTTTGTTCCGCAGCATAAAGTGGCTGAGATGGTGAGAACCATCAGACGGTTCCGAAGCTCCCAGCTGGGTGAGTCTGAACTCCTCCTATCTGTCTCCACCTGGTGGCGTGTTTCTGCCACTGCAGCTGGGAGCGTTTACTGAGGGATGTGTTCTCTTTGGTAGCCGTAGATACGGAAACGTCCCCCTCACACCTGCAGACCAAGGCCTACGTCCGTCAGCTGCAGGTGATCGACAACCAGAACCTGCTGTTCGACATGTCCTGCAAGCTGGAGCCCAAAGACACGTAGAGGAGCAGAGGAGGCAGGCGGAGGAAGAGGAGGTTCAGGACATCAGACTCACAGCCGCTCCTTTTCCTCCTCATCCTGCTGAACCCAAAACTCTCCTGCTGCTGCTGCTGCTGCTGCCGACTGATCTGCATCACTGGAAAAAAACCCGAACCATCCGGATCGACCCAAAACCTAAATGCTGGTTCCTAACGCACAGCTGGACCGCGTTTCAGTTTGGATCGGACCGATTCTCTGCAGCAGAAAAATGAAAATCAGACATCAGCCTGCCTCTAAAATCTGCCATTATTAGAAACACTTTGCTTCTGTCCTTTAAAGTTTAAAGTTTCTCTAAGTCTTTGGTTAGAATCAGTTCCTCTCTTTCCAGATGTTCTTAAGTGAGAAACATCACTGGATCAGGCTTCTTCTATTATTCCCCACTATAAAGTTGTTTTTGAGCCCTAAAGGAGATGAGCTGCTGGTGATGGGAATCTTTCTTCACCAGTAGATGGCAGTATTTGTTCAGTTTTCTTCCTTTAAAGGAGTCATATCTGGTATTTCACAGATAAAATCCTTCTGAAATTTTACTTTAATTCTTGTTTGATTTAGGGCTGAAACAATTAATGTGATTAATCATGATTAATCAATTATTTAAATAATCATCAACTAATTGATTCATCAATAAATCATTAACTTGAGTATAGAGACTCTAAAAAATGCATTTAGCTGACAGGCAGCCCAATTAGAGCAGGAATTATATCAAAATTGTAAAAACATTTTACATTTGAGATTAAAAAAATTCTTTGGCTATCCAATTATTAATCCAAAAACATTTTTGATAGATTAATCAATTTGCAAAATAATGGTTTGTTTAATTATTTATATAAGGAAAAACTAAATGGAGTTCCTTTAGGACTCCTTTTCGTATTTGTTGTGTTTCTTGCTAGGTTAAGGCTGAGAATCGGACTGGTGCGAATGTCAAGCTACACGTAGCGTTAGCAACGTTAGCAGTTAGCTTTGGTTGGTTTACTGTCATTTCCTGTTCGCTGAAACATTAGGTACAAAGTTAGACAAGCAGCAACACTTAGTGAATGCCATCAGATGAGTGATTGGTGAAATAGAGACAATAGTGATGCTAGCATGAGCGCTAATGTTAGCACTGAGTGGCGTAAATCGATCAGGAGCAGAACCTCCCCGTTGATTTTAACAGCTGTGTGTTAGGAACCGATCCCTGATCCCGAATCATGGACCAATCAGACCGCAGATAAGCTGCAGGCATCGTCCAATCAGCTTTCAACCAGAGTCGGGTTGCAGATAAGCTGCACTGCGACTTTCGGGATCCGCCTTTTCTTTTCACTGACTTCATGGACCAAACGGGTCGCTTTTAAAGAGCTATCTATCTGCAGCGAGAAGACGCCCCCTACAGTAAGCTGCCGGTACTCTGACTCTGGAGGGGGGGGTTGCTGCAGGCCAGGTCGTCTGCAGCAGATCAAACAGGAGCTGGAGGCTACCAGGAACCGACCGCCAGCGGTCCACAGCTAATCTGTAAATGTTTAAAGCAAGGAGGATAACAGCCATCATTTCATTTCACCGCCAACTGAGGTGATCCCTGCTGCAGGTGAACGGGTCCGCCCTGATGCCGGCGCCGATCCCGGCTTCATTTTTCCTCTGGGAGTTTGGGTTGTCAGGCAAAATGGGCGCCGATGTTTTCACAGACAGCTCCAGCGTGGGACTCATGGACGCCGGCGGAGGAGGCGGCAGCGAGCTCAGACTGAACGGATCAGAGAGAGTAGATGCTGGATTTCTACCGATCATCATTTGAAGACAGTCTCTGATTCCAGGCAGTGTTTGAAGATCTAGATGATCTAGATGGGACTCATCTTCAGGGATCAGTCTGTGGTTTTCTAAGAAGATAAAAACTCTGTAAACCTCCGTCTGATTGGTTAAATCTGAAGTGAAAGCTCAGGAATGGTCCTTTTAGAGAGCATGGTTCTTTCACCTGATTGGCCGGACCTCCAGCCAATCAGCTGCGCTGATGGGATGACATCACTCCTTAGAGGTGATGAAATTCTTCTCCCTACCTGCTGTCACACCTGAACGACCGGTCGGCTCGTCAAAGGACCCGCCTACCTCCGCACAGGGCCGGCTTCTCATTGGTCGGTTCTGACGGGTCCAAGGCAATAAACCCAGGAGACGGGAAGTGGCGCCGGCTGGTCAAAGCACTTTTTGTCAAACCTCAGGGCTCAGAGACACACAGAGGTTCTGTTTACTCCTTCTTCAGTAGAGTTCTGTTCAGTTCAGTCCAGTTGTGTTTGGATCGCTTGGTTCTGTGTTCGTACAGCTCATCACGATGCTGACATATTTATTCCAGGTATAGAAATCTAAAGAGTTGTTTTTAACGCCGCCGGAGCTGAAGGCGAGACCAACGATGGATGGGTGGAT